ACCACCATCACCACCACCACCACCATCACCACCACCACCACCACCACCACCACCACCATCACCACCACCATCACCACCATCACCACCACCACCACCACCACCATCACCACCACCACCACCATCACCACCATCACCATTTATTGTGTGTGCGTGGGGGGGGGAGGTTGTTTCTGTGGTTTTTGAGGACAGGATCTTGTTACATAGCCCTGGGATTCTGGAATTCACTCCATAGCCTACGCTGGCCCCATGCTCACCGTGACCCTTCTACCTCTGCCTCCCAGCTGGCTTGTGCCACCACACCCATCTCTCTGTGTCTTGTTGATAGTGTCTGTCTAACCGACACTGGATGCAGACTCTTGGTGTTGCCGCTCATTTCCCTGAGGATTACTGGTGACTGTTTCTTCGTGTACTCCTTTGGCTGTTTATGTTTTTTCTTTTTTTAGAAATACTCTTGCTGGTCATTCTCCCGCCTAGAAAAGCATGTGCTGCTGAGTTAAATTCCTAGTACACTCTTCACCCTGCACAGCTGAGAGTGCTTGGCCTCTCTGATTATGATGGACAGTCCAGTCTCCGTCCACTTGCTGCCATCGCTAGGCCTTGTCTGGATTCTGTCTAGAGGAGCCAGACCTATTCTGACAGAGGTATAAAAAAATCACCTGGTGCTGACTCCAAGGAGTCCCAGTTTCTTCCCAGTTCTGGTGAGCAGTGCTTTAGGCTGTGGTTGGCTGTAGCCGCTCATACCTGATTAAATCTGCAAGGTGAGAAGGGTGTATCATGTTCGAGACTGCCTCCTTGGCTCCTTCCTTCCTTCCTGTCCTTCCCCACTCCCCGCTTAAGCAAGCAGGGCTGAGAACTCTCCATCCTCCACTTCAAAGGACCAGTTGTCTTATTTTGATGTGGGCAGATTGAGGAGCAGGCTTTGAAAAATAGCCCCCCTCTTTTTTTTTTTGTTTAATCTTTCCTCCTGGGATGGCTTTCAGAGCTGTATATCCAAGTGTCAGAGAGGGGGTTCTGACGAGCCTGGATTCCCAGACTCTCAGCGGGATCGCCCTCTAACAGAAATATAAAAGTGAAATATTAAAAACCCCGGGACGTGAACCCCATCTGCTGAGTAGCCAGCGCCTTGCCTGCTTGTACCACGAGGGAAGAAAGATCTTGAAAAAAGAGGGAGGGGGGAAAAGGCTTTGACTATGAGGCTTACAGGGTTGGTAGAGCATAGTAAGTTCCCGCTCAAAGGAGTGGGTGTTGCTCCGTGCCCCCCTAAAACTCTCAGCCTTTGACTGGGCCACCAG